CTATGTAATTTTATTTATTCAACATTGTCCTTGTCAAAAGTTTAAGTTAAGAAAGACTTATTAAAGTGTTGTGCTTCAACAAAACTTTAAAAAGCGGTTAAAGTTGCATTAGAATATAAGTTTGGAAACATTTGCGATGTCGCGCAAATAACGCAACAACTGCATTCTTCTCGAGTTTCAAGACTTTGTGTCGGAAACTTTGGTTATAGATATAGCAAACATTTTAAAGAATCTAAAAATAATTTTGCCTCAAAACTTTTTTTTTATATTTTTTAATGCGTATCAATGTAATGAGCTTTACTAAGAGGTAAAGATAAATAGCACTGTCTGGAAGATCACATAGGCTACTGGTTTTTTTAAATCTTCGCAGACGTTGTTGCGGGCACTAGCTCGTACTTCATATTTCGCTTATAAAGCATTTTTTAATTTCAGGGTATATAAGACAGATGGCGTTGTAATCATTTGTGCATGCAACACAATCCTATGAACGGCTTGCTGAATGAAACATGTCTCGGCCGGGATTTCTTTGACATGTCTTCGTGTCGACATGAATTTCATGAGCGAACGACTCTCGTTTAGAACTCGGAACATGAATATTGAACTTGCGTGTACTCTTTGTCGACAACATACTAGAATAATCGTACAAAATACTGTAGTAATATGAATTTACAATACTTCACTTGACACTTTTGAATGCAGTAATAATTATACAGTAAATTTGCAAATCTGGTAAACTGCGATAGTTTTTGATCACTTATCAAGAGTTCTTAGAGTTATAAAATGTTTGCCGTCTTGATTTATACCAATAGCTGACGCCTGCGACTTCGTCCGCGCGGAATTAAAAAAAAACTTAATTAGTAGTCTATGTGATCTTCCAATCTATGTTCTACATCTGTGCCAAATTTCATTAAGTTCCGTTAAGTCGTTCCGGAGGTACCTTCATACAAACATCCATTCATCCATCTAAACTATCGCATTTATAATATTAAATTTTCAGGATGTTATTACAAATTATTATTAAGTTATTCTGTACAATTCAACCTAAATATGACGCGTGTAATTTAAAAAAATATACAATTATATTTCTTATGTTGGTATAACCAGTTTTATAAAATTAGTTGTAAGATATTTGTAGCGGAGAGGGCCGCGCCGCCTGGTACCAGCACCGCACTGCTTGCGTGTCATTATGTTGATGTTACGAATTAAAAACTAACAACTGTGTTAAGTATTTTTATAACCAATGACATGGTTAACACAGATAAAGAGAAACAATTTTAGAATCTAAATTTATACACAGATAAAACTGATTTGAAAACGGCTAAACACTCACGTATATAGTGAGCGACGGGCCGCATCCGCGAAATAATACCAGTACCACTCATCCTGATGAAGGGCCCTCGATGGGCTCGAAACTAGTCGGTGCCGCCACCGGACGTATATACGTGAGTGTTTAGCCGTTTTTAAATCAGTTTAGTATAATATATACCGAATATAATAGAAATTGTTTAAAGAGGTTTAATTAAAATTCAAAAAAAGAACAAGACATTTTAAAAAGTTGTAACTTATTGACAATATTTTTATTTTGGTAATATGCTAATTTAGTTAAGTGCAGTTGTGATTTTAATATTTGTTACGAAAGAATTCCAACTTTAAACTATATTTATAGCCTGGATGAAATATCTAGAACAATAACTTTTGTTCTTTTTCGGTCTATCCATTCATGTTTATTGAGACGTTTCGATTTTCATGCATTGTAGGATTTGAATATTGTTCCAGTTACGTTTATTGTTGCATGATAGTATTGGATTGTATTGAGTGCTTGTCGTATTGGATTATGGGAAATGAACACGATATTTTGTATACCAATTATACCTAGCATTCTAATGTAAAATATCATCGTCCTTCTTCTTCCTTCTCTCTCCATCTTTCTTTGTCAGGTTTTTTTCCACCACTTAGACCTATCATTCGCCATTTTAGACGTCGCATCTTTTTTTTTATTATGTCAGCTTTTCCGTAATCTTACTATTATTATAAATGTTGGATGTTTGGATGGATCCAAAACTGCTGAACGGGTTTAGATGAAATTTGGCATATATGTAGAACATAGCCTGGAAGACATAGGCTAAATGAAGTTTTATTTTAATTCCCCGCGGACAGAATCGCAGGCGACAGCTAGTTAATAACAGATTTATAATAATAAATACAAATTGTTTTTTACGTTATTTATCGCTGTACATTCTGAACTTGAAATGATCGATTGAATCATGAAAATATCTTGCAATGATAGAAAAGCGCGTAAATGTAGCGTGACTACGTATACATAACCTGAGTTTCCACTCCGAAGCACATATGGATATAAAAACATTGTATTCTTTCTTAATTCTTAAATTGTAAAAACCCACTGAAATGTACCTCGATCTAGTCAATATGAATTGGTATACGCTAGGTTCTTATATGGGCCGGGCCGCGGACGAGAGCGAAAGCGTGCCCGTGGCCCCGTCCCGATGCGTTGGAGGAACAGAGGGGTTTAGTGGGTATGCCTCCGCTATGGAGGAAAATCCCAAGGGCGCGGAGTATGCATAAAGCATTCCCCTCTAAAAAAAAGGTTCTTATATGGGCTATTCAAATGGAGTAAAAAGTCTATACCGACCGATATGCGAGTTGAATAGTTCGAACTCAGTTGTACCGTTTTACAAACGCAAATCGTTCGTAGAAACTGTAGCAATACGGTAGCGATGTTTTATTCAACACTAGCCGTTTACAAAGGCTGAATGAATTCCAATTTCACTAACGACACCACAACGGCACAGATCTATTCAAACTCAGTTTGAAATATAATAACAAAGGAAAACACTGTTAGATACAATGATTAAGTTTATCTATAGGTCCTATCTATAAGAGCGTCGGTGGCTCAGTGGTCAAGCACTTGACTTGCAATTTGTAGGTCCTGGGTTCCAATCCCGCCATGTACCAATGTGTTTTTCATGTACATTTATCCGACGTTCTTACGGTGAAGGAAGACATCGTAATGCAACCTGCACATATCTGAAACGAAATTCAAATATATGTGTGAAGTCAACCAAAACGCAGTGGGCCAGCATGGTTGACTATGGCCTAATTACCCTAAATTTGGGCAGGCTCCGAGTCCCTCGGTGGGGACGTATAGTTAGCTGATGATAGATCCGGTGGGGCTAGACAAATTGCATTCGCTTCGGTGCGATAGAATAATTTTCGATAAGTCACGTGATCACGCATCAGTTTCATACATTTTTGATGTTCTTTATGGAATCGTTTCGGAGCGAATGATTTTTTTTATAGAAAGTTGCAAGCCAGTACGTCTGAATGATACTAAAATTAGGTGATGAGGAATACTTGTCTGTAGTTATTAAATTATGCCTGTACATTCAAGTTTTATAATCAAAGTATTAGCTTCTTCTTACCTTAAATACAGTTGAATCTGGATAAGCGATTCGCCCTTAAATGGGTAATAGTATTTAACTTAAACATTTCCTTTGGGTAGATTTTCATACACCTATTTTTAGGAAATTAACGACTTATTAAGACGACGAAAAATCATAAAAATGAAACAATTTACAATTAACAAAATGTTATCTGTCAGAAGTGGGATTCGAACCCACGCCCACAGAAGTGGACTGCGACCTGAACGCAGCGCCTTAGACCGCTCGGCCATCCTGACGTTATACCCATGGTATAAAATAATGCTAGAATATGGGTATTTCTTTAATTAAAAAATCCTGAACAAAGTTCAAACTTTTATCCTATTGAACAGTTAGGTACAGATCAAATAACATCAGGTAAACACAAACACAATTATTACAGCAAAAAGTTGTTTGTTTATTAAGATAAATAACTTTCCCTCAAACATATTTATAATTGTAAGTGTTACATGAAACGTGCCTTAACTTCTGTTTACGTGTTCAGAATACCTACGACTATGTTCAGTCTGAATTATGTTTGTTATCTCTGAGGAGACCATTAGGTTTATCCTTAGGAATAAATTTTATTTGATACTTAGTGGCGTAATTTAAAATTATTAGTATAGGCATAGCAAATTTAAAAGTTTTGTTGTTTAATTTATCTAATATACTACGAAAGGGAAACAGCCTGAATTTAAATATTAATCACTTTCATTTCAAAATTACCTTTGTATTTTTCTAGCTCTATTAAGGTACGCATCCATTAGTTCGCGACGGACGCACCGCACGGATTTCTTGTTGATAAATGCCGTCTTTCGATGGGACGCAGCGCCATGTAAAATCAGACAAAGCAAACTTAAATTCGTTTCGGGTCCTGCGTGCGGTGCGTCCGACTCGAGCCAATGGACGCGTACCTTTAAATTCACTTAGGAATTCAGGATATTTTGTTATATTTAATTTCTATTTAAAGGTACCGACTTCATAATAGTTAGTTTGCACTAAAAATGTACTAATTAAGTGTTGCAGTAACATGACTTGAATTTGTTATTTCACGCTTTTAAAAACATAAACTTTCCTACAAAACATTAAAAGAATTAACACTTTAATAAATTACAGGATATACTGCGGGAATACAATTACGTTGCCGTGGCATTTGCCGTATATTTTAGAAAGATAAATGTTAAATATTAACGCAAGCGCTTTCTACAGCTTCACAGGTACAATATGCAAATAAGGTTTGCAATTCAGCTTTTTTTTTGTTAATTTTACCAAAATTATAAATGCAAATGAATGGATGGATGTATGGATTTTTGTTAGAAGGTATCTCCGGAACGATGCAAGCGATCTTGATAAATTATGGCACTGATTTAGAACACAGTCTGGAAGAACGTATGGGCCACTTTTAAGTTTTTTAATTCCGTGCAGACATGGTCGCGGGCGACAGCTAGTATAATATAAATAGGATAGGAAGGTGTCTCATAAAAATCGTATCGAAAATATTCTTTTCAATCTATTTAACTGTTAAATAAAATTAAACATCAACAAAGAATTGCATCTAATTTATTTAGTATCAAAAGATCAAATAACATTTAAAGCACAAAAATATAAACAGTCCATTATATATTAGCCACTGACGGTAATATCTCTTCGTATATCTCTATACCTCTGAGGAATTGCTCCACTGGCAGATTCTCATCATGTTCATGCAGGGAAGATGGTGTGAGATGTGTTGCTGTCAGCCCTAGGGCCGGCGTGCCCGTCGCCCGTATGAACCGGCTGTCAGTACCGCCGGGAAATGTCCGCACCACTATCTTTATACCTCTGCAATAGTTGTTTTTGTCTAGAGTAACACTAGCTTTCAAATAAAAATATAACCATCATAATCAATCCGAGAATTAAAACAACAAACATAAAAAAAGATCAAAGAATTTATAAAGCTACCACTTTTTAAAATCGGTTAAAATATACAAAATATATTTATAGGTTATTTAAACTTAGTCAAATATCACACCCATATATTTTAATTGGGTTCCGTACCTTTAAAGGAAAAAACGGAACCCTTATCACTCACTATTTTATATTCTTCCTTATCTACAAAGTTTGGAAAACAGTACTCAAAGGAACAATTAAGCGTTAATAATTAGCGTAATTATAAGCGAAAAGTAAACATTTTAGGACTGAAAACTAGACAAAATGAAATGTTATTATAGATCTATAAATAAACTAACAGTTTATCAACCGCTGCTTTGAATGCTACCCAATAAGGGTTGCTGTTATCGACGGCAGTTGGCGGCACGTAGGGGTCCTTTTGAGTGAAATTGTACGACACTCCCGCACCAGCTTCCACGCACCATTGCTTTATCTGAAATGTGTCCATTGCTCACACGTATGCAATTACACCTTTTCATCTCTTAAATTATTTTATATTATTATAGTAGCTGTTGTCCGAGACTCCGTCTGCGCGGTATTAAAAAAAAAACATAATTAGTTGCCTATGTGATCTTCCAGAATATATTCTATATGTATGCCAAATTACATCGAGATCTATTCAGCCGTTCTAGAAATACCTTTAACAAAAATCCATCCATCCATTTAAGCATTCGCATTTATAATATTAGTAAGATTACTATGTATGTCTTCATGAGAATCGATACCACATTATTTTATGCAATGGGTTTCCTAAATTGCATTAGTTCATAACCTTCTATCAAGCGATTTAAAGTATTCTATCTTTAATCCTGTTTTATAAAAATTAACAGTGGTAGAGCCCGCTTTAACATCTTCGCACGAATTGTCCCGGCTCGCCCGGTGAAATACCACGACCACACAGAAGACAGGCGTCAAGTGGAAGCAATTCCGCGTTTCGTCTGATGAGTGTGCGTCCCGAAGACCTAATTTAGTCCTCTTTCTCTTCCAACCCTTTTTCTTATAAGGAAACGATGGGAAGTGGAAGTGGACTTTCCGGATGAGAGGATGCATGGAAAGGGAATTTTTTTTTCTGTGCATCCTCTCCTCCGTCGATTACAGGTAGGCAACGCATATGCAATTGCGTATGTCTATGGGCAACAGTCACTTCGCTATTTCAGCGTTTTTCAGGTGGCCGCTCGCTCTTTTGTCACCTTATGATATAAAAAAAAAATTGAATCACAAGCTCGGATACAAAGTGAAAAGTTACCGTATTTTCAAAAGCTTCTAGATCCTCAGATGTTGCGAGACGGATATCGAAATGTGCCGTCATCTTTTCAGGAATAATATTATCTTGGATACCACCCTGTAAATAAACATAGTAACGTATCACAAACAAACTGTTACCCAATACATTTACAGGGACAGACCACTAATATCCATTGGCGGTCCGTCTGTCCGTATATATCTTTACACTCACACTAATCATTGTCAGATTGATGGAAGTGACGTCACCTATGGTAAGCGATGGATCACTCTCCAATCGAGTCTTTGAAACCTGCCGCAGATCCATGAACTTATCTATAATATACCGGATCTAGACAAAAAATAATAAATTAGTATACTTTGATATACAGGTTTAGTCTTATTATCTAGTTAGTTTAAAAGTTAAAAGAGTCTGTCTAATGCCGGAACGATCAAACAGATATTTATTACATCTCTAAACATTTATGTCTCCTAGTCTCTAAACAGACATTGTCTTCCGTATGGGAAGCATACCCACTAAACCCCTCTGTTCCTCCTACGTATCATGACGAGGCCACGGGCACGCTTGCGCTTTCGTCCGCGACCTCGCCTGCGTCAGCCGAGTCTCTAAACAGACATGACAATGTGTGTCGGGAATTAAACCCGTATACAAAGATTACTATAGGTATCTTCAAAATATATTACTACATTAATTTAATTAAATTCAAACGATATTCCTCACATGCTAAAGTACGTAAGTTATCAATATGCGGATATGTTGGTCAACATTGCAAAGATAAATCTTCTATTTCCAGACTAGAGAACATTCAGTTGGCAACTCGCGCAAATATTTCACACTTACATTGAATCATTATACTATATGAATTAAATGACAAGTAACAGGTGGCTTATTATAAAGAAAACAAACAGTAAATACTATCGGAAACTTACAATCGAAGCTTTATTTATTAATATTAAAAAAGTTAAAAGAAATTCATTAACCTGATACTATGACAAGTATAATAATTACGTAAAAACTATAAAATCAATAAATTTTACTGTTAATAAAAATTTTATTCATTAATTTTATATCAAGGACTTTTGAATAATAAGGTTGACTGTAAATTAAGGTTAAAAATATATTTTTATAATAATTAGAAGGCAAGTACCAGGCTGTTATTCAAAAGATATGCCAGCAAACTATGTAGTTATACTTACCTAGTCTTCTTGCCATAAGTAAAATGTTTTATTAACTGTCTTACATTAATACCTAAACAAATTTTAGATTTCACCGACAACAAACCTCATTGTACAGTCAGCTGTATAAATATTTACAAAGCTACAGAAACTTGTATATCTTCGGTTTAAAAAAATTGTATGCGCATATTCTACCTATGAATACATGGTATTGACGAATACGTGCATACATATTTTTAAAACGAAAGCCATATGCTTCTAAAGAATAAAAATATATTTATGCAGCTGACTGTACGTACCTTTTCTCCACAAGTATCCGGTAACAGTAATGATCCGTGGCCCGATTTTCCCGGACAAACAACGCTTACGTCTGTAAACCAAATAAGAAATTATCTTTAAATGGATTTTAATCTTACTAATCTATCTTATCTTACTTATATTATAAATGCGAAAGTTTAGATGCATGGATGTTTGTTTGAAGGTATCTCCGGAACGGCTCAACGGATCTTAATGACATTAGGAATAAATGAACATAGTCTGGAAACACACATAGGCTACTAATTAAGTTTTTCGCGCGGTCTGAGTCGCGGGTGACAACTAGTTTTAAATGAATTAATATAATTCCTTAAAGGTAACCTCATTTATAACGTAATCTCCTCATTATGGTAACTACCAATACTACTATGGACTATAACATTTTAAAAGGATATTATTTGAACCATTTTGTTAATCCTAGCTTAGCCTCTGCTTAGCTCAACTTAATGTCATTGTCAAAGCCTACGCTAATGCAAGGCTATCCACTGTAAGTAATTTTCATACTTATTTTAGGTAATTACTTATGTGACATTTTTGTTATTATTTATAAATAAAAACAGTCTTACGCCAAATAGTTCTCTCTCCATTGAAGACCTGGTACTCCTCGGTAGCGCACGCTATCCCTTCATCCAGAGCAAAGCCGACATTCAAGTTTTTGTAGTGCTCCGTCTTCACAAACTCCGCCATACCCTCAGCACCGCCTACTTCTTCTTCTGTATTGAAAAGACCATTAATGTAAGCAATGAGACGATATTCGACAAAATTTGTATTAAAATTTGTGCAACGTAATATCGGGCGTAAAATACACCAAAAATCTCATACTAATTTTGTCGAAATTGACGATAACGATACGAAGGAGCTTGTCGCAAATATTCGTTCTAAAGGGGCTAGACAAAGTGTATTCAATCTGAAACGATTCCATAATAATTTGAAAAATGTATGGAACTGACGCGCGACAATCACGTAACTTATCAAAAGGTATTGTCAGTTCTATACATTTTTGAAGTTCTTTATGGAATCGCTTTGAACCCCGCTGGTCCAATGGTCATTAGTTAACACTATATACCAATAACAGCTTCATTAAAAGGCAAAATTTCAAGCAACAAACTAGACTTTTTTATATTCATTTCCATAAAATTTATTATGAGTATTTGAAGCAGTTTTCATGACTCCTTAATGAGTGCCGCTCCAAGTGGTTTGGCGTTCAGCCAATAATTTATCAGACCCTTATTACATCCTGATAATAAAATGTAATTAGTATTTTATTTAAAAAATCAAGAACCTAATTTACTATTATGATTGAAAATCAGGAAGAAAATCTATACAATTAATAAAATTTGAAAATCCAATTTTTAGTATGTCTGCAAGTCCCCGATTATTCCGGGGCCGTTACAGTTGGCCCGATTTTAACGGGTCTTTTACTGGAATGTTAGGAAAATATTCCAAGTTAGCAGCCAACCTTCAAGACTGAAGAGGCACTAGAAGAGGAAGAAGAACTGGAATGTAGCTAATGTATGCTGGAATAATGTAGTCTACTTTTTGAATTCCACACTGACGAAGTCGCGGGCAATCGCTAGGCGAAATAAACCATCGGAGAAGAACACTAATTGACAAGCTTAGTAAATGGCGTTTTGCCAGTCAGGTCAGAAGCAAAAATCTTTTAATCTAGTAGCAGTAATCCTATAAGAATACTAACCGGGTACAAAGCTGAGATGTACCGTCCTCTTTAGACGAATCCCCTTATTTTTCAATCGTCTTACAGCTTCCAAATACTGCACAGCGACTGACTTCATGTCCTGAACGCCGCGACCGTAGATCACGCCGTCCACTATCTCGGCAGCAAAAGGTGGATGTTTCCAACTTTTCTAGAAAAGCAAAGATGTCTATCAGTCATATATTATATATAAATTCACTCCCTTCTTACAGATATTTTATGCTTCATCCGACATGGTGTGGAACACTGGGTCACCATGACTTTCAGAAGAATAGGAACACAGCGTTACCTTACTGTTCATCGGCAAAAATGATCAACTACGTAAAAACAATAAAATTTTGCAGTACTTTGCTGGTTACCTGTTCTGAGCATTTATTTATCTCCTTCAAAAGTGTCAATGTACCTCAAACACAGGCACGACGTCCATATGTGAATTGAGCAAGATACTGGGTAGGTCCGGTTGCAGACCTTCCCATGTCATCACCAATACAGGTTTCTTTGGCACCACCTCGAATACTTGTACTGGTAGGCCAATAGCAGCCGCTACACCTCGTAGAAAGGTTAGACATTCATCTGTAAGAATCATAAATATTTTTTGGATAATATGAAGGATTTTATCTTATACTAGCTGTCGCTCGCGATTCCGTCCGCGCGGGATTCAAAATAGATGTTGGCCGATTCTCAAACCTACTCGATATGCTCACAAAATTTCATGAGAATCGGTCTTGCCGTTTCGGAGGAGTATGGGAACGAAAATTGTGACACGAGAATTTTATATATAAGATTTACGAACGTAATTTCAATTATGTGTTTTATATCGATATATTATACATACATAACTAGCTGTTGCCCGCATCTCCATCCGCTCGGAATCAAATAAAAACTTAAATCATAGCCTATATGTTCTTCCAGACTATGTTCTACATCTATGCCAAATTTCCATAATCGTTACTTTAACAAATATCTGTCCTTTATTATGATATTAAAACAAAAGGTGATTTACCGTAATTGACGTTAGGATGAACACTGCGGATGCGGAGATAATCCCGCAAAGTGTTCACTGCGGGATTATTAGCGTAGTCAGCGGACATTTTCACTGCGTAGCCAGCAATGGATACTTCACAAACGGTAATCACGAAAATTATGCGCAAACACTTGATAATTGGCCGTTTATATTATTGTGTACAACCGCAATGTTAAATAGGGCAAGGGGGAATGTGGGGAAAATTGGTCAAAGGAAATTTTGACTATAAAATTTTGTGAAATTACATTGCAGACAGTTTCTTAACTAACCCTGGAGGCTTTATTAAGTCCGCAAGATTTTGACTTTTCCATATTTTTTTTAGTAACAAAGGCTCCAAGTACCCAAGTCATCTCTTGAGGTAACATAGTTTTGTTAATTTTTATCATATAATTTTTGTTTGCGAATTTATAATAAATTCATTAATTCAATTGATTATTGCATGTCAGGATGGCCGAGCGGTCTAAGGCGCTGCGTTCAGGTCGCAGTCCACTTCTGTGGGCGTGGGTTCGAATCCCACTTCTGACAAGTTACATTTTGTCTGATCTGTTCGAACCAGTCTTTTATTGAGTACTTAAGCTTCCGCTTAGTGTCTTACTAAATCTACGTTTAATGACTTTCTTAGTTATAATTTAAAACTCAATGTTGCAGTAAAAGTTATAAATAGAATTTTAACCACAACCAATTCTCCCCTTCCTCCCCAATTCGTATCATAAAACCACAACTTATTTCAAAACTAGTAATATATGAAGAAGAACCGCAGTCCTGATAAATTAAGTCTTTGATAAGACATGAGATGGTAATTTTCCAACAAGTAAAGTATGTAATTTATTTAAAAATGTAGGTTGTAAAAATCCTTTATCATTTTTAAATTAAGAAAAAATACGCAAAAGTACAGTACATAAGAAAGCGTCGTAAATTTTCGTAAGGAAACTCTAGTAACAAAGAAAATTACAAACAAAACCCTGTACAGTCATGTCGAAAATCGTTAAAGGATTTTAATTTGTAATAAAATATTTTATTTGTTTCCACATTCGTGTATTTACAGAGGCTGAACGAAACTAGTGACACGCAAGCTTAAGTCACAATTCGCACGAGCGCTTTTGTAACGCGCGCTAAAAAGCGTTCAAAAAAAGAACAACGTTGTTTTGTTTTTAAAGCGCCATCTCGTAGACCGCTGTGTCGTCTGAAAAACTTTCATGAATTTCAGCCACTCCGTTGTAAGCCTACAATATTCTGAACATAGATGGCGTTAAGTCCGCTATTATTTTGTAAAAAAAACCTCAAAGATGGCGTAAATGGATATGACAAATTCAAAACCTTATTCAAACTTTAATGATAATCAATTTAATTTACGTCAATAATAATTTAAAAACTGCAAATAGTTGTTACTTTCTTATAATTTGCTTCTATTTTAATATCAAAATATCTATATAAAACATATAGTCAACCCTGTATTATTTGACAAACCGAGATAACAATATTTTTTACTTTGGGACTTTGGTCTCTGAAACCCACGGTTAGTTCCTATGTGTCTCCTTCTTACATTGATTATAATTTTCATCCAAAAACAAACGTCATTATTGTTTTAAAAATATCACGAATCCAAGCCTAAATTACGCGTCTTAAAATGATTTTAAAATCCAGGATAAGTACGTGGACAAGGTGGATGCGCAGTAGTGAACGCAACCACTACCGAATGCCAGACTGCCTAGACTCTATCCGAAAGAGCAAGAAGGACGACATATCACAAAAGCAGCAGACCTGAAATTCTTTATCAAAAACGTTGCTACCTCCTATACTATAAGGGACTGTACAACCCGATTACATTTAATAAAGTAGGTAAAAGAATATTATTATTATCGGTAATGCTTTTCTCTTACATTGCGTATGTTATACATAGAACAAATAAACGTCGCTAAAATGTGAGACATAAGCAGACAAGCTGTCGCCACCGGGGATATTAACGGTCCCTAACTCCTGTTTATACAAAGAGAAAACACGCTTTATATCCCAAAAGATATAGTATTTACGGTAAACTTTAGCTTTATAATTATTATAAAACTAGCTGTCGCCCGCGACTTCACCCGCGCGGTATTAAAAAAATACTTATTTGGTAGGCTATGTGTTTCAGACTATGTCCTATATCTATACGGGATCCATGCGGCCGTTCTGGTCATACCTTCAAACAAACATCCATCCATCCATCCATCTAAACATTCGCATTTATAATATTAATTAATATAAATTATTATACAGTAATTACATTATAAAAATATTAGTATGTCCCCTCGTCTGTCGATTAAGGTAGGCATGTGCAAATGCAGATCTTTATGAGCAACTTCGCTGTATTGATATATTCAACTGGCAGCTTGATCGTTTGCCATTTACTTATATTAAAAAAATATATATTTAACATAGCATAAATTAGCTGCTTTAAATTCCTCGCCAGGCTTTTATAAAGCTAAAGATAAGGAAGGAGAATATGACGTGAAAAATAATTTTTCAACATTTTTATATTAATTCGACATAAGATCTAGTCTAGTTCGTTGCTAAGGAAATTTATTAGGTAACGCTTCGAAGCACTATAAATAGTAACTATAACTTAATGTGTTCTTTCTCATCCATATATTTTATTTAATACATACATATATTACTATCTTCCCAAAGGTCTTCCCTTTGGCTTTACGATGTATTTTATAGCTTTACCAATAAAACTATACAGCCTTATATATCACAAGATATACGGTGTAATAGAACTGTACTCTGGGTAATGCAAAATTGAAAATACAGAATAAAAATAATTCGTATTTATTCCTCTAATACAACTGTCATAGACTAATAGTCTATGACATTTACAAGTTGCCAGTATTATTGGACCACATTAATTGAAAAAAAATGTGTTTGTGTAGTTATTATGGTAATACAGAATGTGTTACAAATAATACTGGTTGTATAATATGTTATGCAAATTTTTAAATAAATTAAAATAAAAATGTTACTGCAACAGAGAAATATGCATTTTAATATGAAATCTGTAAATGTGTTATACTAAATACGAATAAGGTGTTTAAAGGTACATCATTTACCCTGAGTAGATTTCATATTGGAAATCGAAATAATTTACCTATCTTAGTAATCTTACTAATATTATAAATGCGAATGTTTAGATGGATGATTGTTTGAAGGTTTCTCCGGAACATCTCTATGGAACTCGCTGAAATTTGGCATAGATGTAGAACATAGTCTGGAAGAACACATAGACTACTTGTTACGTTTGTTTTTAATTCCGCGCAGACGGAGTCGCGTGCGACATCTAGTATAACATAAAATTATTTATATAAATTATTGGTATAACAGAATCGTGCTGAAAATAACGTTGTGTATTCATTTCACACCTGCGACTGACGCCCACGAACACTTCATGATGCCAGATTAGTTCCAAAATAAAACAATTAATCGTTCGTTTCTGAGATTATAACACCCTGTGTACAACATATTGTCATCACTGTTTTGTCGAAATGAGAGAGATAACGATGTGTTTTCTGGGATTTTTGTCTCAACAACCACATGTATACAGCTTGGGTTTGAATGTTATCTGTGATTTGGAAATGAGATTAAAATTTGATATTTTCTTTACTAAATTTGAGTATATAACAGTAACACAAAACATGGTTAAGGGATTAAATAGCTAAGAAAAAACTCGTAAATTTAACTTAACTGCTCTTTCTTTTTGATTTTTATAGTGTCGTTTAGTCATTTTTAATTTTTAGTAATCGCTAACAATAAAACAGAACAAATATATTATTATAGAAAAAATAAGTCTCTTAACTACAGGATGTATCTATATATGTTTTTCTATTAAACTGTAATCGCATTAAATAAATTTAGGTAGAAAAGTATATTGGGTATTGTTTCTATATATTGAGGTCGGGAAGATATTCATATTTACAGTATCATCTTTCAAATATATAATTCGAATGAAAAAGGCGATGTAATAATGTATTCACAGAAGGAATTCTAAGAAAATAAATATTCTAGATTTCTTTTGCAAATTGAGGCTATGAAATTCATAATAAAGAAATGCCTCTACGCCTAGTTGAAATGTTCGTTAGTTAATTTTTCCTTTCATAAAATCTTTGCAGGCTCGCGCTTTGCAGTTTTTCTTGCAAAAATTTTAATTAGTGCATCTTGTTGGGATTTTTCAATTTTGTTTTTTACCTTCGTATTTTTTTACTATGTTGGTACAATGGTATTTCTAGAGTATGGGCTAGTCCTTCTATTTCCCTTGAAATATAACTTTTAGGAATTATAGATGTCCAAGTATTCTCCCCGTGAAAACTGTAACATCCTTTGTAATTTTGTACAATCGCGCAGACAACAATTAAGAAGATTATCTTCATTCGCAAATAGAGCCTTATTGTCGTACTTATGTTAGTCATTATATAGAATTACTTTTTATATTATTGTTTCTATATTTAAAAGGTTTTTTGTCTACAAAAATATATTTATTAAAATAACACTTTTATTTGTAATAGTACCGATGACAATGAGTTGACATTATACAGAGTGTTAAAAAATTTCATACGAAGGATAGGGACACTTGGACACCTAGTATCCCTACGGATTATATTTCAGGGTGAATAGTAACTCAGTTTAACTCATGTTTCAATATAATTTGTATAACGTTCATTGTCTTACAAAGTAAACAAAGTAACAACTATCATAAGAGTACTTGAGACAATGTTTTGAAGCTTACATTTGCTTTAACCTAGGAACAAATTCAAATCACTTTTTTTTTAATTTAAATAACTGCATATTCAAAAGCTTGCATTGACAATCATAATTTTTTGTCAGTTGTATCTGTCACGTATTTATGGCGACCCGTTTGGTGAGATAAAATACGCTCTTTAAATACGATGTATTACACACCGGGTTGACAATTTAATTAACGTCTGTTTTATATATTTTGTATTTTTTTTACAAGAGATAAGCAAACGAGTTGCTGCACCACCGAGATGAACGTCGACTCCCATAGATACGCAACAACAGAAGAATTGCAAATGAATAGAAAATTCGAATGGAAATCTAGTAAATTCAAATAATGAAACATCAGCTCAATCCGTTGAAGA